TTCACAGCAGTGCGTAAAAAAAAAAGAGAGGAAAAGAAATAAATGGGGGGGGGGGATGTTGAGGATGAGATGTGGAGACGGAGGTGGATGACATCAAACTCCAGGAGAAGGGTGGGAAGTTGACAGGGGAATAGATTGGAGCTGCAGGGCTCTTGGCTGCCCTCTCCGTCTCTCTGAACATTGGCTGATTCACGCTGGAGTTGGAGGAAATGAATGTTAACATGCCAAGGAGTGGGCTGGCGGACGATGAGTGGTCATCTCGCCAGCAGAGTTACATGTTTCAAGCTCGCAGAGCGGAGAAGAGATGTCTCTCTCGCACCTTGAGGACTCTCTTACTCAGATAGGGTCGATCCGTCTGTCGCCCTTAGTAACAGGGGTCTGCACTCTGACTGGCGGGAAGGTTAAGTGCGAGATCGCTACGACAACTGCACCACATGTAGAATCACATGAAACCCCAAAACAAGGCACGGTAGATCCATTAGGCTGTTGTACAAAATATTGTATCACGAGAATATTACTTAAGGGTTCCTCTTAGTGAAAAAATCACCACGGCTGTGATTTTTTTAAAAAGATTAGAAATCAAAGTTATTTGATAACGCAGCTGCAGCGAGTTTTATTTGATCGTGTTAAAAACATGGCTGTAAGCTGCCATAACCCCCCACCATTATAAGATGATGAAATGTTTGGGAGAACCCCAGTAAGAGTGCAGAGTCCATGCTCCAAGTTTGGTGCCAGCAGATGAAAAACTTCCTGTTAGGCCATCTGGTGTTGATTTCAACTGGCTGTAACAGACACATGCTGTATAAACATCTAAAATCAATCTGATAACTTTGGTGAGAATTGGTCTGAGGATTCATCTGCGCTATTTTAGGCAAAATGATTACTGCACTGCCAAATAATCGCCACATAATGTAAATATTTCCTCTGTAAATGAAGCGCCCAAATCCATGACCCACAGATCAAAGCATTACTGTGATATGAACTCACTTCCTGTTTGGTATCCCTGCAAATGATTTTGATAGGCTGTGGTGGACAATCAATCTATCCCCAACAAGTCACCATTTAATTCAGGTTACATTTTTGACAGCTCTGCCAACAGTTTTAGTTTCCATGACGAATAAACATTTCTGAAAATTCAAATTTTTCCATCTGTTTCATTTATAGTGAAAACTGGGCTTCAAAGGTACATCATATCTGAAAATCCATCCAAACAATCATGTTGCCGTTTACATCCACGCTTTATGTCCACGATTTACTTTCAACCTTTTAAATTGCTGTCACCTCGTCATCATGTGATCTTGTGGCAAAATTTGTAATTAAAGAAATAGTGCATGCATTTGTTTTTGTTTTGTGGGGTGACAATAAAAAAGTTAGTGTAATGACCACAAAACGGTCATCTTTAACTACCTTGAAGAAATTCCATCAAGATTTTAAAAAGAACCGCACAGCTGGTTAGACAACATGAAACCAGTCCCTGCAGCCACAGCTGTCTCTGGGTGTCACCATGTTTGTCACCTGCCTGCAATTCTGTATATTCTTCTCATTTAAAAAACTTTTTTTACTGCTTTTCGCTTTTTCTCTTATCATTCTTATAGCTGATGTTCTACATGTTACCAAACAGGATAAACTATAAAGCTGCTTGTTGGTTGTTGGGAGGGAGCTTTTTCACCATAGGGCTCATTTTCATGTTCAAGAAACCAGTTTGGGATTGTTTGAGTTTTGTGATATGGTGCATAGGCCCATCAGAAGATGGGTACACTGACGTCATAAAAGGATGGACGAGGTCAGCAACAATAATCAGGAAGAATGTGGTATTTTAATGGTGCTTAACTGATACTAAGGCAGCCAAAGTATGCCAAGAAAATATCGCCTGCGCTATTAAACCACCAGGCGAAGGCTGAACCGCTGATACAAGGCAGGATAGATCCATGCTTTTATGTTTCATGCCAAAGTTTGACCCTACCACCCGGATGTAGCAACAGAAATCGAGACTCATCAGACTTTTATTGCCCAATTTTGATGAGTCTGTGTGAATGGTAGCCTCAGTTTCCTGTTCTTAGTTGACACCCAGTTTGGTCTTCTTCTCATTCAAGGTTCAGTGTTTTGTGTGTTCAGAGATGCTCTTCTGCACACCTTGGTAGTATGTAGAAGAGCCTACAAACAAGGTGGTAACTCAGCTACTGTTCCTCTCAGCTTGAAGCAATCTGGCCATTCTCCTCTGACTTCTGCATGAAAAACTTTCACCCAGAGATCTGCTGCTCAGCGAATGTTTTCTCTGTTTCAGATCTTTCGCTGTAAGCCCTAGAGATGGTAGTGCAAGAAAAAACCCAGTGGATCAGCTGTTTATGGCACCAACAACCATGCTATGCTTAAAGTCAGTTAATTTTAAGCTCAGCAGGTCGTCTATACAGGTGAAAAAACCCTGACACCACTGTAGTTAGTGGTCCTTCATTCAGGTGTTTAACTCTGGGTGAGGCTCTTTAGTGTGACACAATTAGCCCTGAGAGAGACAATAGCTCTGTCCCTTCTGTGACACTAAGAAAGGAGCGAGATGACGTTCACATCCTCTGTCTCTCACACACACACACTTTTTCACCGAGTCAGTGAATACACTGTCACAGCAGCCCCGTTCTGCCTCATATACAGGACACAGACTCATAAACACAATGTAACGTCATGATGATTTGAATTGGAGTCTTAAGTACCACAGACAAGAATAAAAAAATAAAAAAATCCATCTCAAACACACACACAGAAGAAAGTGAGCTTTCCCCCACAAGTCAGTGATTCATAGATGCAGCCACACCCTCACACTGCAGAGTAAGTGAGGTCAACCTGTGTGTTAATAAATGATGGGTTCAGAGTGAAAACCTGGTCACTGTGGGGATTCAGGGTGTGAGAGTGAAAAGTTCAGCAGATATCCAGGAGAAAAAGCACATCCAGCTCTGTAACCCCAGCAGAAAGGGCCTTTCATATTTCATAAGCAGTTCTGTCTGACTTCGCATGTGGGCTAAGAACCAACTTGATGGTTTTATTGCAGTTAACGCTACACATAACGGGTCACCGCTGCTGAGAAGTGAGAGACAAGTTTCAGAGAGACGTGCTGGGAGCATCTGTCTGATACGTGCTAGTCTTCATCCCTCTCTTGCCTGCTTGTTGCTTCTCCTTTTAATGCAGTTCCACCCAAAGTGCATTTTTGCTTTGGATGTGGAGAAGTAATGTGTTGCAGCCTGCTGTCTTAGGCAGAAGAAACGTCTCAGCCTGTCTTCTTCAGCACCGAACGCTGAAAAAGGATGTGACTCAGCGGGTCTAATGTGGTTACAAGCATACATACTATCAGTGTGATACTACAGCGGGAGGTGTCACCAAATCTCTGCTCGCACGATTAGAGATTTAGTGAAATCAAAGGTGAAAAAAATATGTAGACTCTCACATTACTGCTATAGGTATACCAAGAGTTCAGGTAAAATTAAAACACTATAGAATAATATAAATGAATCATTTGCAGTCTTTTAATGTGCGCAGAAGGAAAGTGGGTCGGCTCAGTGTGAGGACTGCAGTGATTATGCGCTATAGGCCAGAAAACAAGCAAATAAACAACATTCAGAGAAATTTATTCAAATCATCTCGAAACTGAAAATCCAGATAAACAAGGTTATCAAGTGTTTTCGTCTCATGGCCACAACTGAGGTGATATTTGTAGCTGTGTTCTCTTCCAACCTGCTGAGATCAAAATGAGATGATTGCTGCCTTGATTAGCAACATCTCATCTCGTAGTGTTCAAAGCAGCAACTAGGGCTGCTTGATTATGGCAAAAATGATAATCACGATTATTTTCACTGAAATTGAGATCTCGATTATTTGACGATATTTATTTAACAATAACAATGTATTGAATAATGACTTTAAAGATTGTCAAAAAATAATATAAAATAGTGTGCAAATACTGATAACAGTGCAAATGTTCGCAATATAAAAAATAAATGAAAAATGTAAACATCTATGTTTAGTGAACTTTGCAGTGTTGCTCTGTGGTGCAGCTACGACACTGTAGCAAAGTTTACACTCTATGTCTACTTGATCCACGTCAGACTCCGCGAACCCATAATGTTTCCACACCACTGAAGTTTTTTTTACCTCGTTTGGTACCGGGCCGCGAGAGTTGGGGCTCAGGTGTGAAATGTATAGTTTTCAGGGTTTTTATCGGTTTTCAGCGTTATTTTGTTATCGTTTTTATCGTTAACTCAGTTTTCCTCGGTATTTTCACATGTGTTATGAATAAATCTCATTTTTTTCGGTACCGGTACTAGTATTATTTTGTTGTATTTATCCGCGACACCTTAAAGGCCGGTCCATGAAAATATTGTCGGGCATAAACCGGTCCGTGGCGCAAAAAAGGCTGGGGACCGCTGCTCTTAATTGTTGTGTGCGCTCGATTTGCCACACGGAGCAGTGCGAGAGTAAAGCAGGAGGGAGGGGCTAATAATCGGCTCAGTCATTTTTAATGATCGTTGAAAGCCCAGATCGTAATCGTGATTAAAATTCGATTAATTGAGCAGCCCTAGCAGCAAGTATTGTAAGCTGCTGGGACCTTTCTGGTAGGGTTTCAGATGAAAGACCAGACTTCTAGCAGGTTGTAACTTCAACAACAGAGCCCCCATACTGCAGACCTTTAACATTTAAATAGGCAGCAGCATGCGGGGCTGGAAAGCTAAACCAACAAGCGAAAAAATAAATAAAAGGCCCTGTGCGTGGTTTTTATCAGGCCTGCAGCAAATTTCATATTCGAGTGATGACTCGAAGAAAGTTTTATTGGGAATACAAACAAATGCAGACAGAGAAAGTAACATTGCATTTGCAGAGGGATGATAAATACCAAGCTCAAATCACATTTGATGACCATAAAGCAGGTCCAAGTTGTGACATCGCTCTGGATTTATTCTTCTTCAGTTTAAAAGCACATCTTACAGTGTGTACGTGTGTTAGTGTACGGGACTCACCAGGGTGTTCAGGTGGCTGCGGGTATTCACGGCGTGTTTGAGAGCCAGTTTAATCATTGTGGGCAGTCTAAGAACAACAGCCTCCATATCCTGCTCTCCCCTCATGGCACCAGCCAACTTCCCCAGTCCATCTATATAGCTCCTCCAATGAGGCTGCACTTCTGCAGCTCCCCCCAGGCAGTTGTGCATCACTGCTTGACAGAAGCCTCTGCAGGCCGGCGGCCCCAGCATGCCCTGGCAGTGCGGGCAGTACCACAGCCTCAGCAGGGACCGGCTGCACTCTCGGCCGGGCCGCAGATGGTCTGTGGTGTTGACGACCTCGATGCCCAGGTTCAGCGCCTGCAGGAAGACTCGTGTGGCCAGGAGGGAGCGAGAGAGTCGAGTCATCATCAGTTTAGGATAAGGACCAAATGCTCCCGAGTCCTTCCAAGCTCCTCTTACACACTCCTCGGACACTGAGGTGCCACTGCCTCCCAGCAGGCGGCGGTACGTGAGCGGAAAGAGGCGGCCGTAGAGCACCGCCACCATGTGGTCAACTGTGGAGTCCGAGCCAAGGATGTAAAGCGACATGTCCAGGAACAGCTGCCCCACAGAGCTCTGGGCACCGCTCGCAAGAGTCGGGAACTCTGACTTCAGCATCGTCAGGGTGGAGTTACGTCCGTGGCGCAGCACCAGGTCAAAGGCCTCTGCAAGAAAGAGTGAGACAGGGTGACAGTCAGGCCATCTTCTGAAAGCTCAAAAATTTCATTCAGTCACGCCTTAATAATCACTACAATTACCTCAAAGTTCTCAGCAAACAGGCATCAGCTTAACTCAAAAACATGAAACACGCAAACAGAAGCTTTCCCCCAAACAAAGATCCTATCCTTAACGATCAAAGCCAGGGAAAACTTCCCACGCGCAGCCTCGCGTTCCCTTTTCCCACTTTTTCTCCATTTGTTGTTTTCCTCTAATGTGCTCACACACACTCTGAGGAAAAGCACGAACACATGCGTGTTATTACAGTAACGGGTGATGGCTTCAAACGAGCTTCTCCAATAGATAAACAGTGAGATTCTGGCTTTGACCTTTCCACAGTACAAAGCAACGGTCTGTAAAAAGCTCACAGAATCGTAAAAAGACACCAGTAACGTCAATATATTAGTCAAGTGTGAGAGGCATGGCCGTAAGGATGTCTGTGAGGAGAAAAGCATTCAAAACCTGCAGGAGGGAGTGGAGCAGGGGCCACTGTGAGAAGAGAAAATAATCAGTGGCGTTTCAAGGCACAAAGTGAAGTCTTATCAACAAGGTGGCACAAGAAGCGGGAGCTCCATCATCGACCCAGTTGCAAAATGAGTGAGGACCCGACAACAGAGGGGATTTAAAGCTCCATTACTGAACTTAGCAGGGGAGCCCGAAATCCCATTTATACCACGGCTAGTCCACTATATCACTTTGTTGGGAGTGACTGCCGCAAATGCTTTGTGAGGAGCAGAGGAAAAACAGTGGTTTAGGGAACATTAGAGGAAGTTATTGGTTTATGTGCTACAACAAATAGCCATTTCATCTTTGTTATTCGTTTTTCCCTGCTTGGATAGTTTAATTTGTTTTTCTTCATGCCTCTCTGAGGTCAGTGAAGCCTATGCGGAGCTTTGGCGTTGAGAAACAATTTAACTCCTCTGTTTTTAGGACATAATGTGACTTTCTGTGTATGCGTAAACAAATCCACATGAGGATATAAATACATATATATGAGATGTTTCACTATGATTGAAATGAATTCTGTAAACTAAGTAAACTCTCACAGAGGAATAAACACATTCGTTCCTCAAATTAAACATTCACAGTGTTTTTGTTCATCTGAGGTTATATTTACCTCGTTTTAAGATTTTTATTATCATCCGATATGTAAAACCTTAGAAACGAGTGCAATTTCTTCTTCCCATGTTTAGTAGGACTCGAAACACAGCAGCTAATGCATAAATGCAAGCAGGCCCGAAGTGATCCAGCTTTGCTATTTGTGGTGTGAAGTGAGGTGAAAACACACTGATATGAGCTGCAAATGTTTCAACTCATTTTGAGGCTCAGCGATTTCAATTTATTAATTTACAGAAACTTATTTTGAAGAAAAAAACAAGAAGAAATTGATTCTCTGTCAAAGTCTCAGATCAAAGGATAAACAAATATAGCACAACCAGATTGTGGTTTACTTGCTAGCACGAATGAATGTCTGCAGCGCACTTATTTTCCCTTTTATGGCAACCAAACTGCACACTAGCAGGCAGATCAGAGCATATTATTATTAATAATTTGACACTAAATCCACCTTTTTGTGTTGTTGAATTGCTACTGAATCATTTTAATCTTTCTGGTCCCGGTTTATCGTGTTCATTGCGGCACAAGGTATTTGCCTTTGTACGGGGAAAATTAAGCTCAGCTCTGGAAATAACAGGAAATATTAGAACATTTTTTGATGTTGCATAGCTTCACTGCCATGTTTCAAGGTTGTAAGCCTGAGTTTAAAAGTTGGTTTTCAACTTTAAAATGCTGAAAGTGTTGAAATATGCTGCCTTAACTGGCTAAAGAGAATCCTGTGAAGTAACGACCCTGTAAGTAGCCAGCTTTAGTTAATAAAATACTGAACCTGTTTAAGCAAACTTTATCATAGGCTGGAGTAAACTGCAGCTTTAGGGTCTAATGTGTATGTAAGCAGCCTACTCGCTCAGCAGAACAGTCGCTGGCTGCCTAAAGGTTAAGAAAAGCATTGGAGGATGTTCAGGAGCAGCGCACATCTGTTTGGTTTTTCACTCTACGGCTGTCCTGCTGTGTCTGTGAAGCACTTCCCTCTGTGATCAGTGAAGAGGCAGATGTGCAGATTGCCAGCTGAGACAAGGAGACAGACTGAAAGGAGGGAAAACAAACCCACACACACACACACACGGTTACACACAGAACTCGCAGATGAGCACAGAAAGTTTTCAACAAGCAGATATTTGGTTATCGATTGAAAAGTGGAGGCAGTGAGAAAATGTATCCAGCTCACAAAGCGGTTTCTAAAAAAAATCCACCCACATCAAACCCTGAAATTCAGCCGCTACCTGTAGCATCTCTCACGCCGTAAAGAGGAGAGCCACTTTGCGATGGTAAAGAGAAATACTAGAGGGCTCTTCATAAATGCAATTCAATGGCTCTGAGTAGCCGGGGTCATAGCATGAACCATTGCGAGCCCATTTCCTGCAAATGCTCCTCACGTTCTTTCAGCGGTGAAAGCCTGGACGGGATCAGGTATCCTTTAATGGAGGGGAATGGGGCCGTATGTCGGGGACCTGTGACACGCCGGATACAAGTGTACGAGGTCAAGAGCACGCATTACAAGAGCAGGAGCCCAGAGCAGCATATTAGGTCACGCTTAAAATTAGCAGTAACATTCATTTTGTGAGCGTCAGGGATGGAGGCAGAAGGCTGCTGGAAAGCTGTTTCTCCTGAGACTGAAGGCCTTTTACTGACAGACCACCTGTTTACTCCAAGGCATCTGGGCATCTCATCTTTCTCAGGCCTTGAAATGCTCATGTCGGATTGACTAAATGCGGTCCAGTAAACCTCTACTATGCGAATTTCTCATAATATCTGGTTTCTGTGCATTTCAAGCCATTAATCCCAAATTAAGCAGCGATCAAGTATCACACATTTCATGTTATTAGTAAAATAAGTCTGATAAATCTGCGGCACAATGAGGTAAATTCTTTCTGACATCTAAAGCCTTTAAGTGACTGCAGCTCTGACATAAAACAGGCGCTCCCGTAATCTATGAAGGGCCTGTCAAATAAGCATATTTGATGTTCAGGAGCCCATCAGTCTCCACGTTACGTATAAGTACATAAATCTGCGGCTCATAACGTACCAGGCTTGGCTGACCGTTGCCTGTGGTTGACACGCTGCGAAGGCAAAGACATGCACCGTGCTGCCTCATCAATCAGCGGCCCATACACCCATTATCCCCTGAGAGGAAAACATCAATAAATTACCCAGCCAATGAGACTAATCCATTTGGCTGATGGAGTTTCACCTCTAGCTGCCATGGAGACGGATGGAGGAGTCGCTGCCACCTGGTCCCGTTAACAAAGCCGTACCTGTCCGGGACGCAGACAGAGGACTGGCGGGGGTGCCACGGTGACACTTTTGATGTAAGGTGATTGGGCTTCTAAAGGGGGCCGGTGATGATCCAACTGTCTTATCATGTGTCTGTGGGTGCACCAAGCACGTGCGCAGGCTGACTCTAACAGACACCTCCCAGCAGCGTCGACGTTCAGTCGTGATTTTATGAGCTACAACAAAGCAGCATCTGTTCACTGACTGTAAACAGTGCGCTGCATTTTCCAGGCACGTTTCACTCAGAGCACTCTGCACTCAGGTAACCTGAGACCTGCTCCACCTGACAGCCCTTTTTTCCCCCTTGCGGGATTATTGTACGTTTGCATCTGCTCGGGGCTTTACGGGACGGCGGCAGAGAGGCAGAGCGGGGCGGGGCCGGCTGATTCCAGGAACAAAGCAGGCAGGATGCTGGTAAGGCCTTGATAACATCACCAGCAGACCATGAGGGCCAATGGACAGCGGGGTAGAAATGAGAGGTGTATTAGGTTACTCCATCTGTTAGGGAGCACCTCATCGAACACACAAACACACACACGCACGTGCCCACACGCAGCCGCGCACAATGCAATCAGAGCACTCAGCAGCAGCCAGGTGGTGACAGCGAGGGCGAACATTTGGCGGACCATGGTGGGATGGCAAGGTGTAAGTCAGGTGTAAGGACACTCATACACACACACACTAACAGATTTTTCTTTGTCTTCATTTAACTGCTGCCCTGTGAGCGTCCAGCTAATGTTTCCTCCCAGCTAGGCAGTAAAATAAACAAAATTCATACACTGCTTTTATTACTCGTAGTCTGTTTCTAATAAGAAAACAACTCGAGAGGTTTGTTTTGGGGGGTTTTTTCTCCAAAAACTCATACAGTCCACTCGGATCCACTGAAAAAAATATACAGCACTTTTACTTCTGTGTATATTTTTTGAAAATGTGGTTTATTATTTCAGGATAATCTTCAAGTCGTTATCTGTTCTACATTAATTGAAGGTTAAAATCTAGGTAGCAGTCCCAAGCTGCGCTGGATAAAAACACACAAACAGAACTTTACTTCTAAAGTTCTGAGACAGTTAAAAGATATTTTTCATAATTTGATGCATTAATGAAAAAATAGTTCTCAAATATTTCTATTTCAGTAAAAAAAATTGGCAAAATTTGTCATCTCTCATTTCTTTTTTGTTATTTATTTGAGGAGCCTGAGCTTCAGCCAGCAATAGTTCTCCAGGGTTTCTGACGCTCTTTCCAAGTTTTTCTTTGGATGTTGGCTCCTTTTTGACTGACTGATAGTGTTCCAGGATTACACTTATTGCATTGTCAGTGAGTTTGGGATCATTACCATGCTAAAAAATGAAGCCGTTGCCAATCTGATGCTTTCCAGATTTTATAACATGGTCGATCAAAATCTGTTCGATCACTTTTCTGTGTTCCTAATTCTATCAGTTTTGACAAGATCAGTGCAGAAGTGCAGCCCAAACCATGACAGAGCCTCTGCTGTGTTTTACAGACCTCTCTTCTGACTTCCTCCATTCATACTGACGACTATTTCAAAATTAAAATTACG